TTATACCTGTCAAATCATAATAAAGTTTAAAAACCCAAGATCAAATTTCAATAACACATGGGACCACCATATGTGAATATATGAACCCAAATTACTGCCACATCTCCAACACGCAGGATCGCAATTCTGATACATTTTAGCTAATTTATTTGGTGTTAAATACCATTTATTTATAACTTTTAAATGGCACTCTGTCAAATTCAAACAATGTATATTTTTAGAAATATGTGACAAAGAGGAACACCAATGTTATAGTTAATTCTAGTTCTTGTTCCCAATAATTTATTATTTTCGTTGGATTATCATTAAGTAAGTCTAGAAGGAGATTTGCTTTGGAAATTACTTTATTAACATAACTGTTGCTAAATATATTTTCCATAAGACCTGCTGACTGAAATGAGGGTTTTAAAATATTAATTTCTAGAAAGTTTTTTATTCTTAAATATGTTAAAATTTCCCTGTTTGGGACTTGAAAATTTTTCACTATCTCTTGGAATAGAATGATCTTATCATCTTTTTTATTATTTGTGAAATTGAAATTGTATCTTTATTTGGCCAATTCTTTAATGATAACTCTTTCATATTTTGTTCTAGTACAGTTAATTTACAGGTTTTTGGTATATATTTAGCAATTCCCAAAGCTTTTTTTATCTCCTTAGATTATCTACATTTAAAGGTAAGATGGATTTTTCTGGGGATACAATAACGTTCTTCTTTAAAATGTTAGAGATTATTTGAAAAATTTTAATTCATGTATTGCTAACTAATCTACAGGACCACCAAAGGCGTTCGAATGTTCCTTCCCGTAATCCACATCTCCAACATAATGCACAGTGATTAGAATCTATTTTGTGCAGTCTAGTGGGGACTACGTGCCACCTATGCATTATTTTGTAATGTAGTTCTTGGATATTTAGGCAGTGTGTGACTCTCCCAACCTGTATCCAGCTGTTTCCCCGTGTATTTCTCTCTTTTCCTAGGTCTTTAGACCAACCCGTAAGTGCTCTAGGTTTAATTACTTTTTCCAAGGTTTTTAGAAAAAGATGGGCTTTTAAGAAAAATATTTTTGTTTGAATGGACAGCTGTTCTCTAATGCATCCATAGTGTTTGGTGTTAGAGTGGTTAGGAGGTGCTCAGTGAGATAATGCTTTATTATTATTATTATTATTATTATTTTATTATTTATATAGCACCAACAAATTCCATAGCGCTGTACAATGGGTGGACTAACAGACACATAAATTAGATCAGACCACTGGACTTACAGGAACAGAGGGGGTTGAGGGCCCTGCTCGATGAGCTTACATGCTAGAGGGAGTGGGGTATAGTGACACAAAGGGTTAAAGTAGGGGGATTAAATAGTTTGTTAGAGAAGGGTTTATTGAGTGCTTGGTAGGTCATTTTTGACAGTTGCAGGAAAGGAGTCATGGGGTGGGGGATGAGAAACCTGCTGACAGTTTAATTGATACGCTTTAATGAAGAAGTGAGATTTCAAAGATTTTTTGAAGGAGTGGAGGCTGGGTGAAAGTCTGATTGCGGAGGGAAGGAAGTTCCACAGAATAGGTGCAGCCCTGGAGAAGTCTTGAAGCCAGGCATCAGAGGTGGGGATCCGGGCAGAAGATAGGCGTAGGTCTTGGGCTGAGCGCAGGGGTCTCGACTGGACATACTTGTGTATGAGGGAGGATAGGTATGTTGGAGCAGCATTATGTAGGGATTTGTAAGCAAGCGCCAGAATTTTGAATTGGGCCCTATATCTAACTGGAAGCCAATGCAGGGACTGACAGACCGTGGAGGCGTGGGAGGTGCGACCGGACAGGAAAATAAGCCTCGCAGCCGCATTCATTATAGATTGCAGTGGTGCAAGCTGGGAACATGTAAGACCGGTGAGAAAGGGATTGCAATAGTCAAGGCGAGAACAACAGCACGAACCAGTACCTTAGCCGCGTCCGGCGTTAGATATGGGCGGATGCGCACTATGTTCTTGAGTTGGAAGCGATAGGATTTGGCTATCAATTGAATATGAGGAGTAAAAGAGAGGTCAGAATCAAAAAGAACCCCTAGGCAGCGAGCCTGTGAAGTAGAGGTGATAGTAGCGCCATTGACTTGGATGGAGACAGACACAGGAGTAGCACCACTTGAGGGAGGAAAAACTAGAAGTTCTGTTTTGGACAGGTTGAGTTTAAGGAAGTGAGCAGCCATCCAGTTGGAAATAGCAGAGAGGCAGTCAGAAACACGAGTCAAGGTGGACGGAAAGAGATCAGGGGAGGACAGGTAGATTTGCGTGTTATCTGCATATAAATGATATTGGAAGCCAAAGGAGCTGATGAGTTTACCAAGGGAGGCAGTATAGATAGAGAACAGTAGGGGCCCGAGGACAGAACATTGGGGGATGCTGACAGAGAGGGGTTGGGGAGAAGAGGCAGAGCCAGAGAAAGAAACACTGAAAGAGCGCTGGGAGAGGTAGGAGGAGCACCAGGAGAGAGCAATATCCCGTAGACCAAAGTTATGGAGAATGTGAAGAAGCTGTTGAAGATCAACAGTGTCAAAGGCGGCAGAAAGATCAAGGAGGATTAGGATAGAGTATTGGCCTCGAGATTTAGCAGCAATTAAATCATTGGATACTTTGGTCACAGCAGTTTCGACAGAGTGACCAGCGCGGAATCCAGACTAAAGGGGGCAAGCAGAGAGTTGGATTCGAGAAAGTCTGTCAATCTGGCGTGCACAACGCTCTCGAGGATCTTGGAGGCAAATGGCAGTAGCGAGATAGGGCTGTAGTTGGATGGAGAGTTGGGATCAAGGTTGGGCTTTTTCAGAATCGGGGTTACGGTTGCATGTTTGAAGGTTGAGGGAAATGTGCCAGAGGAAAGGGAGAGATTGAAAATGTTAGCTAGAGGAAGAGCAAGAGAGGGAGACAAAGTGTGGATGAGATGCGAGGGAATAGGATCAAGGGAGCAGGTGGTGGGGCGGGAGGACAGGAGCAGAGCAGAAACCTCTTGTGCTGTAGCAGGTGCAAATGAGCATAGGATGGCAGGGGGAGTGGGGTTGGGTAATGTATTGATAGGGGTAGGAGAGAGATTAGAGATCTCTTTCCTGATTGTAGAGATCTTCTCAGTGAAATGAGATGCAAAGTTTGTGGCGGACAAGGTGGTGGAAGGAGGGGGAGTCACAGGACGAAGAAGAGCATCAAAAGTGTGAAACAGGTGTTTGGGTTTATGGGACAGTGTGCTTATGAGGTTTTGAAGTTGTTTACTAGTTTACAGAGGAAAGAGCCATGCTGTAGGAGCACAGCATACGTTTATAGTGGACAAAGTCAGATGCAAATTGAGACTTATATGAATCTAATTATAGTAATCATTAGTTGGTATTTCATGCTCAGTTATTAAATGTTCACATGTTTTGAATTGGGAACCCTCTAAAAAATATACCATGTTTAGATTTTTGTTGTAATACCACTTCATCTTATTCATATCTGGGATGTTGTTTTCTATTATTTCTGTAGAGATTTGTTTTATTATTTTGTCCCTTAATCCAATGCTAGTCTTCAGTTTGGACCAAATTAGATAATATTTTGGATGACTAAGTTCCCTTTAGAATTATCCATGATTTTTTTTTTTTTTACTACTGCATTATTTATCAATAAAGCATTGTTATAATTCTTAATATCCAATATCTTTTCCTCAATCATAAACCAATCTTCAAATCTAGTGAATAGCATATAAATGCGTCAATGCATATATTCTACCATACAGCATGTTGGGAAAACCCATACCCCCACTAGATTTGTTTCCATATAATATATTTTTAGAGATTTTTGGTTTCTTGTTTAACCAGATAAATTTTTCTACTGCTGATTGAAATTGTATACAGAAATAGGATGGAAGTTGAAGTGGGATTAATCTTATATTATATAGCCATCTGGGTAGTACTCACGATTTAATAACATTAAGTTTGTCCATCCATTATATGGGTAATTTTTTTCCATTTTCAAAATTTAAAAAAAAGATTGTTTAATATTCTTGGTAATTCAGATCAATTAGATGTGAAGGATCCTTTGCGATTTTAATCCCTAAGTAATCAATGCAATTATCTTTGCACATAAAGGGGAAATTATGTCTGAGTGAAGTCAATATATTTTTACTGATTCCTGCTTTCATAGTTTGGGATTTGTTAATATTGAGCTTATAATAGGAGTATTCCCAAATACTTTAATCTCTTTTAAAAGGGCTTCTATTGAGGTTTGAGGGTAAGTTAATATCATCAGAAAATCATCCACATAGAGACTGGCCTTTTTTTCCATGTCGCCAATAGAGATGTCCATGATCTCTTTGTTATTTCTGATTCTTGCTGTCAATGGTTCTAAGATCATAATATAGAGAAGCAGGGCCAGAGCACATCCCTGTCTGGTACCGTTCCTGATTGTACTGGGAGGAGAAGCCTTGCCCAACTATCTTGGCTGTTGGATCTGAGTACAAAGCCATAATCTGTTTTATTATATTTTCACCAAAGTTAAGACTTTTAAGAGTTGCTTCCAAACAAAAACCAGTCATCCCGATCAAATGCCTTTTCCGCATCCAGAGAAAGAGTTACCATAGAGATTTTATTATTTAATGCATAATCCATTATATCTATAATTTTCCTTGTATTTCTATATGGTTGACGTCCACTGACAAACCCAGCTTGGTTTTTTTATGGATTATAAGAGAAATAATTAGTTTGATTCTCTCGGCTATAATAGCAGAGAAAATGTTAATATCACTATTAATTAAAGAGATAGGTCTGTAGTTTGGTACAAGTTTTACGTCTTTCCCTTGCTTAGGAATTGGAATAATGACCGCTTGCAGCATTTCCCTAGTGGGAAATGTCATTAAAAATATTTGTTAGAGGTGGGCGTGTCCAGGCGCGGAGAAAGATGGCCGCATAAGCCTTATGCTCTGCAGCACGAGCTCGGCAACCCAGCGTCAAATTGAGAATCCCACGGAGGAAATCTAACACAACCTACAATGTCACAGCCTAAGATCCGCCGACACAACGTTAAGACCGATAAATTACACTTTTTCGCTCAAAAGAAGGTAGCTACCCTGGCTCTACAAACAGCCGAAATAGGCCTTCAAGATGGCGCCGGGCACTCCGAGGAAAGCAGCCCGAGGTTGGAAGTGGAACAGCCGTCTGAGAGAGAGCCACTCACCACAGTGTTTCTCCAGCAGGCTCTGGATCTCCAATCCCAAAAGTTAATCTCCATTTGGCAAACCAGCGAGGCGGAATTAAAGCGCGACCTTTATGAGTTGGGCACCCACACAGCGCAAGTGGAATCTGTTACAAAGACTCCGTTACAAAGACCCGTTACATTGTTATTCCCTGCTTCAGTTTATGAAGACTCTATTTTAACGGCATTCCGGCCAGGCGAACGGATCATACGAACTATTATAAAGCCTCATTCGTCAGTGCGAACGACCGACCACCCAGCCCTAGGCGTGTGCCACCACTTAACCCCGTCACCCCGCAAAGTACCCAATGGCTGACCACCCAGCCCTAGGCGTGTGCCGCCACTTAACCCCGTCACCCCGCAAAGTACCAAATAGCCGGCCACCCTGTGAGCGGAGTGTGCCGCTTATCAACCTCCCCTCAGGCATTGCGTCTGTGGTTAACCGCAGGTTAAGTGCCTCTCCCGGGCGGGCTCCATTCGTACCACGAACAGACAGGACAACCAGACGCGTTGCGGGGATTTGCATGATTCTTGTGAAGAATCTCCCTCCATTCATTCGGTACTTTCCCTCCCTGCTACTTTATCCATGGATTTATTACTGTGACGAAGTGCCCTTCGCCACTTGTGCCTGGAGAGGACTGCTTGCCCGCCTCTTGCCCTGTGACTATGGACCCTGGGAGATTTGGCCCGTTCAATTCAGTATGATAGGAGTTATGTATTTTTGTATCCTTTTGTGTTTTACTGGGAACATGTGCTCAATGGAGTCTGCCTCTATCCCTGGATAATTGGATTATTTTCTCCATTGTCTCCAGGATAGAGGGCTCTAGAAAACCGGTTTGGGCCAGATAGCCATGCTGCCAGCCAGGCCCCAAAAGATACTTTACTAACTTCTGAACCCCTGGTCTGATTCATGCCTGGTCTGATTGATATGTTGTTTCCCTGAATGGATTGATTGTGAATATATAATTTTTATGTGAATGTGATGTATATCTTAGAAGTTATGAATATGCTGTAAAAACTGTATTTTTGGAGTCCTCAGCGAGCACTAGGCGCATCGATTGGCGGAGGTACTAAGTCGGAGTGCCAGCGTTCCGTCACAATTCTGTACCCGGCCTTCGCTCCATGAATACAGCATTGAGGTTCCGCTGGCCATTGACGGACCCAAAAACATGGCCACCATCGAGGGCTTAGAATCCAACTACCGAACAGGACTTTATATACCAGAAACCTCCTGCTCTGTTTGTGGGAACTGGGCGCAATTCGCACACTTAATGCATCCTTGATGATTGATAATGGCTGAGTTATATATTTTTATACTGTTTTCTGGAACATAATAAAGCATGGTCGTTTTGGGCGCTTCATTATCTCCAAGCTGGGCGGGTACTAGTTTGAATGATACACTGAATTTTGATTGGTTGAATACTTGTACTGTACCTGTATCCCATCAGGTCCATGGGTGGCTGTCCCTGGACCTGGGGACTTGCATAAATTGCCATGCTTGTGTGCCAGTAAAGCCAGTTCGTTTTGACCCTCAACTCGCAGCCTCGACTCGTGTTGTAGGGATCCAGGAATACTAGCGCTCCTACAGCTAGTGGGATATTCTACACTTTCAGATACTACCGAATGGAACCACGTTCAACTCTCTGACTCCGGGAACCAGGACATCCAAGCGATCAACCCTCCTGCTAGACCGGGGGCAATCGTAAAAATTGGTGGCAGCTACGGAACAGATGGAGAGAAATTACGAGAAGCTGAAACGTACCACGTTGAAAGATCTGCTCAAGAGCCGAGGTGGGAACGCGAGCAGTAGACCAAGGAGAGAATTGATCGCTGACCTGACCGAGATGGACCAGAGCTTCACCATGGCAGAACCAACGGTACTACCTAACGATGAGAAGACGAGAATTGTCAGGGAAAGGCTCCCCCTATACGGGCTGAACCCTTCCGTGGAATTAGTGAGGCAGCTGATGGTGGAAGCGGATATCGAAAGGACTCGAGCCCATGAGCTCAGTCTGAAAACCGCATTACTTGGGACCACCAGCAACGCACACAGCATTTCTATGAAGCAGCGTGGCATTTAAGCCATTCGTGGAGAACAAGATGGGGATCGACGAATTCCTAACCGATTTTGAGCAACAGTGTGCTTTGCATCAAATCCCCACAACAGCCTGGCCGCGGATACTGGCAGGGAAACGGCTGGAAATGGAGGCGTTCAGGACTCCTAGCACGGAAGACGTCACTCAATACCAGCTTGTCAAGGACACTTTATTGAGACGGTATGCAGTAACCCCCGACACGTACCGCAGGCAATTCCGTGACACTAAAAAGAAGCCGAATGATACCCATACCGAACGGGCCCAACGAATGCGGAGAGCAGCTACACATTGGATGAATGGGTGTCGAGCAGTCACGCCAGCCGAAGTGTTGGAATTGTTTTTACTGGAACATTTTTACGAGGGACTGGAGCAAAAAGACAGAGGGTGGTTAAAGGATCGCCGACCGAGCGATCTCAACGAGGCAGCGAGACTGGCTGACGAACACCGGGATGCTTGGGTCCAGGAATTTAGCAGCTCCCGAATGGCCACTCGCACCGAACCAAGGGACACGTACTGACCAAACCCACGAACTGAGTTTCGCACGCCGGTGCCGGCAAGACCCACCCGATACGCCGGACCACCCAACCATTACGCACAGGAACGCTCCCGTCCCACCTGCTACAAATGCAAACAGCCAGGGCACCTCATTGCTAACTGCCCCCTCAACAGCAACTATCCCTCGAGGAATTACAATGCAGCTTCCTCAGGGAAACAACCGCCCAGAACGCGCTTTCTGTGTCGAACAAGAAGGTCCCCTAGAGGAATATTTGGGACCCCTACACGAAGCGAACACAGTATATGTGGCGAATGACAACCGGCAGCACCACAGGCAGGAGGTATTGCTGGAGGGTCGCCCCACACAGGGGTTGAGAGACACAGGGGCCACTATCACCCTGGTACAAGGCTGACTGGTACCAGCACACAGGCGTTCCACGGACACCGTTGCGGTCCGGGTGGCTGGAGGGGACATTTATAAACTACCCACGGCTCAAGTACATTTGGATTCGGGTGCGGGGAAAGGAATTGTGAAAGTGGACAATTTGCCAGCCGAGGTTCTACTGGGCAACGACCTGGGACCCTTGACTTCTGCCTATGCTCCTTCCTACAACTCGGAGGCACATCCTGTCACTACCCGGTCACAAGCAGAAAGGACTCGAGACCCTTCACCAGTTCGGGAGGCTCAGGTAAGACCAAACTCGACTGTGACTAATCACCCGTCCCCATTACCCTGTGATACCAATGCAGCCTTTGAGGCTGAAACTAAAACCGCCCCGACCCTGCAGAAATATAGGGAGAGAGCCGATACAGGGACTGGGGGATCAGACCAAGAGACGTTCGCATGGGAACAGGGCAGACTATACAGACATACCGAAAAGAAAGGGAACCATAGGAGGCAGCTAGTCATTCCCCACAAGTATAGACGAGATATACTCCGAGTGGGTCATGACATCCCATTAGCTGGACATTTAGCAGTGACCCGTACCCTCAAACGGATCACCCATACCCTCTTCTGGCCAGGAGTGCATGCAGATGTGCGTACACACTGCAACACATGTGAGGTCTGCCAAAGGGTAGGCAAGAGAGGAGACCACCCTAAGGCACACCTCGTGAACATGCCCATTATATAGGAACCTTTTAGCCGGGTAGCCATCATTAGATTACATCAGCCGAAAACTCCTGCCACGAGAGGTCAGCTATGCCACGGTGGAAAAGGAGTGTTTGGCCCTGGTGTGGGCACTAAAGAAGTTAACCCCCTACTTGTGTGGACAAGAGTTCACTCTGGTTACAGACCATAACCCATTGGCGTGGCTCAACCGGGTCGCTGGGGATAATGACTATTACGCTGGAGCTTATCACTACAACCGTTTAATTTTACTATCACCTACCGACCTGGGAAACAGAATGGCAATGCCGACAGGTTATCACGGCAAACTAACATCAGTCCAGCGTAATTCTTCAGTCTTGACAGCCTTAGTCTGCCCCGAAAAGGGGTCAGACAGTGTCTGCCAGAGTGTTCCACAAAGAGGGAGCAAGACTCCGTTACAAAGACCCGTTACATTGTTATTCCCTGCTTCAGTTTATGGAGACTCTATTTTAACGGCATTCCGGCCAGGCGAACGGATCATACAAACTATTATAAAGCCTCATTCGTCAGTGCGAACGACCGACCACCCAGCCCTAGGTGTGTGCCGCCACTTAACCCCGTCACCCCGCAAAGTACCGAATAGCCGGCCACCCTGCGAGCGGAGTGTGCCACTTATCAACCTCCCCTCAGGCATTGTGGTCTGCAGTTAACCACAGGTTAAGTGCCTCTCCCGGGCGGGCTCCATTCGTACCACGAATGGACGGGACAACAAGACGGGTAGCGGGGATTCGCATGATTCTGTACCCGGCCTTCGCTCCATGAGGTCCCGCTGGCCATTGACGGACCCAAAAACATGGCCGCCATCGAGGGCTTAGAATCCAGCTACCAAACAGGACTAGCAGAAACCTCCTGCTCTGTTCGTGGGAGCTGGGCGCAATTCGCACACTTAATGCATCAAGCGCTAAGCTACCGAATGACACGTGGAAAGGACTATATTCGCTTGATAATGGCTGAGTTATATATTTTTATACTGTTTTCTGGAACATAATAAAGCATGGTCGTTTTGGGCGCTTGGAGATAATTAGATTGTATAACCGTTGGCTTTATTATCTACAAGCTGGGCGGGTACTAGTTTGAATGATACACTGTATGGGGATTGGTTGAATACTTGTACTGTACCTGTATCCCATCAGGTCCATGGGGGGCTGTCCCTGGACCTGGAGACTTGCATAAATTGCCATGCTTGTGTGCCAATAAAGCCAGTTCGTTTTGACCCTCAACTCGCAGCCTCGACTCGTGTTGTAGTGATCCGGGAATACTAGCGCTCCTACAGCTAGTGGGATATTCTACACTTTCAGATACTACCGAATGGAACCACGTTCGACTCTCTGACTCCGAGAACCAGGACATCCAAGCGATCAACCCTCCTGCTAGACTGGGGGCAATCGTAACAGAGACAAAAATGGAAGAACTCGTGGATGCACACAACACATCTGCAGAGCAGATCCATAGTTTTCGGCACAGTTAAACCAATTTCAGGCGAAAACTATGGACCTCGAGGACAAGTCCAGACGAAGCAACATGCGCTTATGTGGGATTCTGGAGACCATAGTCCCGGCGGAGCTGCCATTTTACATTCACACCTTCTTCAAACTCCTGGTCCCAGAGGTCCCAACAGATATGGTTCTGCTGGACTGTTTACATCGGGTTCCTAAACCTCAACATATTTCAGCCTCGCTGGCCAGAGACGTGCTATTGAAAGCATATTACTTCCACATGAAGATCTCATCATGAAGCGCAGCAGAACCTTCAAAGACCTCCCGGCGGAATATGCATGTGTACGGGTCTTCTCGGATCTCTCAGTAGCCACCTTGCGGCAACGTAAAACCTACCAGCAAGTAACCCTGCGTGAACATCGCATCCTCTACCACTGGGGATTCCCTGTCCACCTCATAATATCTCAAAACGGGACTACCACAGCCATTCATACAGTGGAAGAGGGAATGCAGCTTCTCCACAAGTGGAACCTGTCACTAGCAGCAGCCACGCCCGAATCAAGATCGCCTAGAAGGGTGAACAAGGACTGATCCCCTGCATAACTCTCAGCAACCGCTTATTGCAAGTATTCATTGCCTAGGCAACTAATGTTATGGGTGACTTGGCAGTCGCTAAGAGTGCTAACTCCCCTCTTGCAATATCCCCCTATGCGTTTATGTGTTTATGTTCCGTGGGAACACCTCACTATGTTGTTAAGAGGTGCCATGAGTTCCCCATACTGTTCATTACTGTGATTATTTATAAGCGCCACAGTACAGTTGTCTGCAGAAGATGTGTATCTGGCACCATGCTGTCCTTAACCAGCTCAGGCCATCTGCCTTGTTACCATCTCCAATCCCATTCCCCCCATGGAGCTGTATCCCAGCGCCCTGCACCGAGATCGGGTTTTAATGTATATACTTTGGTTTAGCTGTTTTGGTTTTATTTCAGCCTCCTGTCCTTTTGCCCTGGTTTTACCTACCCCCCCAGCACGACCCAGCCATGCCTTCATAAGATATGGGACCATAGGGCACATCTCCGCCTGCCACTTTTACTTCATAAAACATCCCCCCCACAGAGCCAAAGATCCCCATGGCTGTCACTTATAATCAGCTCTTAAAATGTATTCCCATAATGTAAGAGGGCTTAACATGCCCCACAAGAGGCATATGCTGCTTCAAGAAGCTCACAAATCAGCAGCAGATATACTGTGCCTCCAAGAAACACACTTCCATAAGGCAAAGGGCCCCCAATTTGGAATGAAACACTACCCCAATCAATTTCACTTGGCCTACCTATCCAAATCCAGAGGGGTCTCTATATTAAATGTTCACAAATCAGTCGCCTTCGAATTACTACAAAAGGTCTCAGACAAACATGGTAGATACCTAATTGTAATATGTATGTTGAATAATGCATTGTATACTCTTGTGAATGTTTATGCGCCCAATAAAAACCAAAAACTTTGTACATAGTGTGTTCACTAGGGTGGCAGCTGCACAGAGAGGAACCACCATTATCTGCGGGGACATAAACCATGTCTTAGACGCCAATTTGGATACCTCGGTACCGACGCACACAGATAGACATCGGTCCCTTAACACACAATGTAAAGCCCTGACCAAACTTTTGCTCTAATTTAATCTTTATGATTGGTGGAAGACGCTAAACCCCTCAGACAGAAATTATTCTTACTATTCAAAACCCCACAAGACATATTCCAGGATAGATGTGCTACTCCTGGCAGGTCCTTCTCTTAATTTGGTTCAGTCGTGCACCATAGGGGACATAATTTGGGCGGACCACGCGCCACTATTGACAACTTTACGAGACGACTTTACTTTCAGGGGCTGTAACCCATGGAGACTCAATGACTCTATATTGCAGTATGAGAACTTTTGCTCAGACATTGAATCTGAACTTAAGTGCTATTTCTCCCTCAACGACACACCAGATATCTCCTTCTTTAACCTGGGAAGCCCATAAGGCAGTCATTCGAGGCTTGTTCATACGACCGGCATCGTTTCTCAAAAAAACCTCCACGGCGAAGTCATTAGACTTATGGAGGCTACTGCCTCCCACTTGCTCACACCAAACCCTGCGGACACTGCACTTATAAATTAAATTCAGACTGAGCTAAACGGCATTAATATCGCTCACACAGCTCTCTCCCTCCATAAATTCAAAACCAAAGAATACACCATGGGAATAAAGCCAGCGCGCTTTTAGCTAGCAGGCTAAGGGACGCACAGACCCAGTCCAAGATCTCCCACCTCCTGTCAGAAGATGGGACAAAAGTGATAAAACCCCAAGAGATTAGCAACTTTTTCAGTAAACTCTACAACCTTAAAGACGACTCAACGGTCCATCAACCCACTGAGGATAAGATAGCAGCATTCTTGTCTGGCGTTCACTTGCCTATTTTGTCGACCTCATAAACAGCATCCTTAGCACAGCCAATTTCATTAGCAGAAGTGGAAATGATGATACAAAACCTACCACCGCATAAGACGCCTGGCCCAGATGGCTTACCCAATGCATACTACAAATGGTTCACCTCCATCCTCTCCCCACGCTTAGTGTCACTGTTGACTACAGACCTACCACTTGACATGCTTATGGCTAATGTGGCTACCCTGCCAAAACCTGCCAAACCTCCCGTCAAATGTGCCAACTTTAGGCCCATATCCCTACTGAACTCGGACGTTAACATTCTGACCAAAGTTTATGCTAACAGACTGACCTCGATCCTCCCAACCATAATGCATTAGGACCAAGTAGGTTTCGTGCGAGGCAGGCAGGGGGCTGATGGAACACGTAAAGCCATTGTGCTCTTGCCAGTGGCGTACACACAATCCATGGGGCCCCGGTGCGAAACTGATCCATGGGCCCCTCCTCCCTCCCCTGATCCATACCCCCCAATTCCCTCGACACATACATACAGACACACACACACAAACATACACACAGACAGACACACACACACATACATACACCCCTCGACAGACACATACATACAGACACACACACATTCAGAGACACAGACACACACACAGACACACACACATACAGAGACACAGACACACACACACAGAGACACAGACATACATACGGGGCCCCATGGATTGTGTGTATGCCACTGAATACATAGACACACACACATACAGAGACAAACACACACATACAGAGACACAGACACACATACAGAGACACACATACAGAGACACAGACACACACATACAGAGACAGACACACACACATACAGAGACACACATACACATACAGTGACACAGACACACACAAACACAGAGACACAGACACACACAGAGAGATACAGACACACACATACACATACAGAGACACAGACACACACACACACACTTACAGAGACACAGACACACACAGAGAGATACAGACACACACATACAGAGACACAGACACACACACACACTTACAGAGACACATACATATACAGAGACACAGGCACACATACATACAGAGACACAGACGCACACACATACAGACATATAGAAAATGTTTCCTACCTTGTTACTTTCCCTGGGGTCCAGTGGGGGCTCAGCCTGACACAGGGGTCCCGCGCGGGCTCTAATAGCTGGGAGGAGTGATGTGCAGTCACTTCCTCCCAGCAGTGATGTAATCACAGGGGGCCCGGTCATGCTGTTAAAGCGCCCAGCGCAGACCGGGCCCCCTTACAATCCACATCCATCGGGTGGCCCTGACAGCATCGACCATCCGATTGACCCCTCCGGTTTGCCGCGCGGGCCGGGGCTGCAAAATGTGGCAGTTGGCCTGGTACCCGGTCGCAGGGGTCCGCAGGGCGGCCGTGCCCCCTGGGGTCCCGGGCCCGGTCACAGCTGCGACCCCTGCGACTGCTGGGAATTCCAGGGACAGATTACAGTAATGAACCCAGAAAAACCCAGCATAAAGAAAACCAGACATAGAATAGAAAACCAAAAAAACAAGAAAAACTAAAGAAGAATTGTGAAAAAGAGTACTGGATACTAGAAGCCAATGCCAGAATGAGACGCAGCGAGAAACAGGATGTGACACCTAGGCGGTTAACTAGCATTTATGGAGGAGCAGTCACACATACAGGGACATCACAACAGCACAAACCTTCCAGCACTAACAGATGTAGCAACTGACCCATTCTGCAATACTACGCAATAGGAGCCCTTAGGACTCCACCAGCATGGGCACTCAACCACCACAACCTAGGAAGGTGGAGTCTAATCCGCCACATGGTTGCTTCATTGTGGCCTCCACGCAGGCCATGATGGGTACGGTTGGGAGACCAAACCCCAACAAGGCCTGTGGGGCCACTGTTGACAGCAGCACCTCAATTCCGTAGTTGAATTCAAGCTATTGAGCGAAGTGCGGAACTCTCCTGGCTAGGTACTTGGCTATATATAAAGTGTCAAAGCTGCGCATCTGTTATAACTTGAAATGACGATGCATGTATGTAACATGTCAAAATAAATGTCTGCTCTCCCCCCTTTTTCTTTTCTGTACCCCATTTGAATTCCCCTGTGACAAAATAAAAATTCTCAAATTGAAAAAAATTTTTTTGTTAGATCAGAAGAAATTAAATGAGACATTTTTTTATAAAAGTAATTGGAAAAGTAATCTGGACCTGGAGATTTATTCTTTTTAAATTTATTAATAGCTTGAATAACTTCTTTCGTATCAGGTGGATTTTCCAATGCTTCCCTATGTTTTGTGTTTAATGCTTGCAAGTTTGAGGGTTTTTTTTTTTGACATTCTTTATTTTTTATTTTTTGACATTCTTTAAAAAGACCAATAAGGTAGGACAGTTAGATTAATTGTTGTCAGATAATACAGTGAGTTGAAAGTATCGAAACATAGAAATATAACCATAACTGTAATGGCAAGTACCCACCAGGGCAACAAGAGTGGCCGCAATCCTAATACCTCGAAGGGACTCATGTGAAATGTGCGAGAAGCGGGGCGTGGGAGGCGCGGTTATCCCTTATACATCGTTAAGCGGTGAATCTTTTCTATCTGTTTCGTCTACCGCTCTGCCCCTGGGGGCCAATTGGTGAGCCCGCCCGTGACCCCAATCCCCAGTAATCCCCCCCCAACCTCAAGCCAGGTGAAGTGTTTTGCGTGAGATATATGTTAGCTGCTGGGTGTCCTCTGGCCTATCTGCACCCCCTCCTGTCCCCTACCCGTATAGGCTGGAAACCCCTATGGAACAAACCGGGCGGCTTTTGCCTGGGTAATCCATTGGGCTCAGTTCAAACCAACAGCGTTTAATTGAGAGTGTAGGAAGATTACCTCCCCATCCCCAAAGAGGCGTTGTTGACCTCCTGCCCTCTGGCTGAATCCCCTCATTAATGTGCACCTCCCACCTCCCCTAACAAGGTTCGATAGCCCCGTAACCCCCTCTCCGCCCAGTGCCTACACGGCCTACTGACGCCCTTGCCTTGTGTCTCCCCCCTAGCTCCCCAAATGTTTTCCTGCATGCTTGGTTAGTGGATTGAAGAGTTTATAAGCCTATACCCATGTAGTCGCCCCAGTTTACCGTCCATCTGGATATCGGGATGGGGAAGGGAGGGAGATAGTCATAGCTGTACGGGAAGGGAAGTGCGGCCCCCAAGTTAGTCAGGGCTACGTGTATTTGTCAGTCTGTCAGGGGAGGAAGAAGTTGTGCTGGTGCGGGGGCGTCCCCACCCCCGGATCGGCCACCCCCCGCGGCCCCCCTCCCCATGTACTCCATCCATGGAAACCATGTCAGAGAACAGTTATCCGAGCGTCCCTGCAGAGACGCCGTCATCATTTCCATGTTGTAGATCATTTCTACTCGGTCTACCCACTGGTAGGAGCTGTCGGTTTTCTCCATAAGATAAGCGATTTTGCTGCCGTGAGTAGGTGTATAATGAGGCCCTTTTTGTAGATGGTGACTGGCATGCTCGTGTGATTCAGCAGCATCGGCAACGGCTGGAAAGGGATGTCCATCCCTGTTATGTCTTTAATTGCTTGGTGTATCTCTCGCCAGAAAGGCTCAATGCGTGTGCATGACCACCATATGTGGATCCCGGTACCATCCGCAGCTCCACACCTCCAGCACTCACCCGAGATGGACTCGTGAACGTGACGAAGGATGTCCGGGGTTCTGTGCCATTGCGTCAATATCTTATAATTGCATTCCTGAAACTTTGAGCTAATGGTCCCCTTGTGCGACATTTGGAAGATTTTTTGCCACTCTGTATCAGACAGCTCGACCCCTGTTTCCCTTTCCCACCGTACCGTAAAGCCTAAAGGGCTTTGGTCCCCGCAGTTTTGCAGCGTGGAATATAGGTGTGATATGCCATGGGGGAGATGCTGTCTGGCAACGCAGAGTTGTTCGAAGTGGGACAGTGTGCGGTGAAGGTGAGCCTTCCCAGCGAGAGAGGCTACATATGCTGTGAGCTGGTAGTAGCGATATTTGTCAAGGGCGCTTGGTTCGCGGTCTTGGAGTAGAACCGCCAGTGGCTTAAGGGCCGGTCCATTACACCACTGGTGCAGGTAGATCCAATCTGCGGCCCCAAAGGACTTCAAGTCTCCCGGGGAAAGTCCCCCGCTAATCTTGGATTGTGTTTCATGGGCGTAAGCAGATTCGGCGACGACGTAAGTTTTTTGGAGTAACGAATGCTACACCACACTTTCAATGTAGCATCTATCAACGGGTTGCCTGTTTGCAGTTCCTGGAATGTGGCATCCCCCAGCCACAGTTGGGCAGGGATTTTGCCTCCCCTAGCCTGTTGCTTCTCCATGTCTACCCTTATTTTTTTTGTATCTACTATTTGCATTTATCCTGTTATAAGATAAGGCTATTTGTTTACATTAACGTTTTTTTGCCATTACACATAGACATACACTTATACAAATCTATTTTCTTTATTATGTCTATATTTACTATGTATGTCTAGCTGATTTTCCCATATTTTTTAATATGTGGTGTGTTTTCCCTTTTTTTGTGTGTGTTTATACCCTCAATTGTAAGATACTAATATGTATCTTATGTTCTTATAGTTTTATTTTAAATTTTTTCTTTTATTTTAATATATTTTTTTAATTATATCTTCTATGGAAGTCTTTAACAGTATTATTTTAGCTGTCTATCATCTGCTCTTGTTCTACAATGGTGAGAATGTATTTAAAGATGTTATATACCTGTCACTTTAAATTGCATACTAAGTCCCTATTGGTGTTACTCCATTAAGATATATATGATTAATTAATTTAAGGTTATTATAATAATATTATATGTACTATGTAATTTATCATAATATATTAGATAGATAATAATACCCTTATCAGTGGTATAGAAGTATTGTACTATCATCAAAATCGACGTTTTTTTGTATGCGTTCCTTTTGTGGAACGCATAGAATATGTTTGTATTATCATTATGACTGCCGTTTTTCGAACGCATAGAATACCATCGTCCGGTTACGCCGCGTCATTTCCGGTATGACGCGTGCGTTCCACCGGTGGTTAACATAACCCATATCCTCCAATATATTATTGGTCAAGATGGCGCCGCGTCATTTCCGGTATGACGCGCGCGCGAAATCCAGGAAACAGTAAGTAATTTTCAAACATATGAAGATAATTGCTTTTAGTTTGATTCCCTATATATTTGGACATTAAAAAGACTTTATTCACACTTCTGAAGAAGCCTCTACAGGTGAAACGCGTAAAGTGGATTTTTATGGACTTTCTCATAGAGTGTTCCTTATTTGTTTTTATTGATTTTTGTGTACAATAAACAGTTACTATTTTATATATTTTTATCACTCTGAGATATCCATTACTACATTATTTTTTCCTGGTTACCATCTTACTTTATTATCACACTTCTGAAGAAGTACAATACTCGTTACAGGTGCACTAAATCGCGTCAAAGTGGATTTTTATCCTGGACTCTTAGAGCTCATCACAGAGTGTGCATCCTTATTTGTTTTTATTGATTTTTGTGTACAATAAACAGTTACTATTTTATATATTTTTATCACTCTGAGATATCCATTACTAGGCATTATTTTTTCCTGGTTACCATCTTATTCCTTGGTGGGGATTATACCACCTACACTTTATAAACTAGAGCGAGGCACGCTCTAGTAAATGTGAGTACAATACTTTATATTTATCCGTTATCCCAAGAGATTCTAGTATTTACTGCACTATGTGGATTCTTCTGCTTATCTGTGTGTTCTTTATTTGAGACCATCAAGACGTGGACCACACTTACATTCACACACACAGACAGTCACACACAGGCAGGCACACACAGAGACAGTCACACACACACACAGAGACAGACAGTCACACACACACACACAAGGACAGGCAGTCACACAGACAGTCACACACACACACACACAGACAGTCACACGCACACAGGCAGGCAGTCACACAGACAGTCAAACAGTCACACACACACACTTACCTCTTTCCAGTGGATGCAGTTGGCTGATGGGGAAGCATCTTTCCCTCTTCCTGTACAGCAGGGGCTTCGGGAGGTATTAGCCCCGTCTCCGCCTCTCGATAAGCCCCGCCTCCGCCGCTCGGTAAACCCCGCCCCCTCTGCCGCGATTTTTTTTTTTTTTTTTTTTAATAGACCCGGGTGGAGGCCGGCCATGAGTGAGCTGTGTCGGCCACAGGGCGCCCCCTGTTCCATGGCGCCCTGTGCGGTCGCACAGCTCGCACACCCCTAAGGCCGGCCCTGTGTGCATCTATTTACCTCTTGCTCACTTACGGAATATTAACAGTGCTACACTATTATTTGTATATCTCTTTTTCTCTTTTTGAGGTACATGATTGCAAGTATATGACCATAAGGACTTGAGTACGTATTTGCGTATCACAATAAGGGCGCGGTTTACTTTTTTCTTTCTGTTCACTATTGTTTTATCACAAGGTAGGGAATCCTTGTGTGGTCACTGCTGCCTACTCCCTATTGTATCCATCACTATAGTGAGCGCCTAATCTTATCTGTTTTTTAAAGTCCTATTTTGTGCAAGGTGCGCTGGATCAGCCTGATGCAGTGCGCCGGGACCGCGGTCGCACCCCTGGAAGAATCCAGCCGTGGGTCCAGTGAGATATTAAGATCACGGGCGAGGACCAAGAGTCCCTCTCGAAATTTCTCTAATTTGGCTAGCGTCCGGCCAGATGTGGTGGTCGGAACCGCCCCTGTTTCCGTCAGCACCCCCCCTGTGTGCCATGTATGCGAGTATCCAGATGCTGGGGTAAAAATATCGTGAGGAAAACCAAGTGAACCAGCCCCCCCAGAAACCCCCGCTTAGCCCCCTAAAGGCATTGGCCCGCAACCATATTGGGCCATCCACTCATCTAAAGTTCCCGCTCCTCTCCTTCATGTTAGGACCAAATTTGTCTGCAGGAACCTCCCCCCCAGCTACCTGCTACAGCTCGTCTCAGGGCAGCGGGGTCCCAGTAAACTCCATCACCCGCCTACCGGAGACTCAGGGCGGGTGCAAAAGTGGGATCTGTATCTCACACCAGAGGCCCGCCGGCACCTCCCCTGACGTGGGACAGGGTCTCACGGGTCGGCTTCATGGGTGGGGGCTTTTTAGGGGTGGCTAGGGGACCCCCCAGCGTAGCTGCCCCCCTTCCCCACTCGCTTGTCAGAACGTGTGCAATGGTACTGGTCTCTCCCAACCCCTCCGAGAGACCCTGCCCCAACTTAGCTGCGGGATACACCGCTGAGCCCTGACCCTCTCCTCCCTCCATCTGGCCCCCCCTGCACACCCCCACCTCACACCGGACCCACTTCCTCTCCGTCCGAGACACCCCCCTTGCTCTTGGCACCTTATCCCCCGGGCCTTGCGAGAGCATCCGCCATGTTGGGCATTGGAGCCTCCCCCTCTGCAAACCCCCACCCGAGCAGCCTAGCTGAGCAAAACCACCTATCGGCACCTATCTGTCCCCTCCACCCCCCTCCCAAAAAAAAAAAAGGGGGTAATAAAAGGGAGGAGGGGGGGGAGAAGAAGACAGCAGCAAATGTCCCCAGTCACCACCAGTGTCCGCCGGGCTCCTCCGGCCCCCATCATCCCCCAGGCCCAGTCCAGCCCAGACCACCCTGCCCACCCCACCTGCAGTGGATCCCTCCCGGTAACCCCAACACTAAGGCTACCAAGCCCGCGGAGCCCTTCCCACCCCACCTATTCACTATCTCCCCGCCATTCAGCCAACTACCGCTATGAACAGTCCACCACAGTACATACCCCGGCCAGGGAGGTCCAGAGCTCACAACCGGGCCGCCATGAATCCCGCCATGCACAAGTCAGCGGACCGAAGGGAGACCCGGCGGACCCAGCCGACCGCTGCTACTCTTCAGGGCCATTCGGCCCTCCTCTGCGGCGTTGGGGCTCCTGTTCCGGGTGCAGGTTACGTGCTGTTTCCGATGGGCCCACAGCTCTCGCCGGCGGACCCTCCAGGATCCAGTTCGGAACGGCAACAAGGGGGGAGGCCGGCGCTCCAAAGAAACCGAGGAAAGTCATTAGGCCAGCGGAGCACATGCCACATGCTATCCACCCAGGCCTGAAGACTAAAGGGGAAGCCCCACTTGTACGGGATTCTTCTCTCCTGGAGCAGGCGGGTGAGCGGCCTCAGGGCCCGCCGGGCATCCAAGGTGGTCTGCGACAGATCCTGGTACAGGGACACTGGAGCATCCATATAGCAGAGGTCGGGTCGGGAGTGCGCTGCCTTTATCAGCTCCTCCTTGAGTGGGAACGACACAAGGGCGCAGATCAGGTCCCTCGGGAGGCCATCACGTCTGGGAGCCCGTAGTGCCCAGTGTGCCCGCTCGATGCCAAAGTCCTCCGGAGCCGCCTCCCACAGCTGGTGCGTGAACAGGCCGGTAAGTATCTCCTGTGGCCTCTCCCCCTCTGCCTCCGGCAACCCCCGGACACTGATGTTATTCCGCCGTCCTCTATTGTCAAGGTCCTCGACCTGACGGCGGAGGTCCAGGAGTAGGTTCCCCTGCCTGGTGGTGGCCAGGTCCACCGCCCGCTGCCGGTGAGTATTCTGTATGCGTTCTGCGTCCAGGGCGTCCACGCGGTGATCCAGGGCGGTAAGGTCTGTCCACACCGCTGCCATCTCCTCTCTGATCACTGCGCCTGGTAAGCATACTGGAGGAGATCGCTGCTATATCCAGCGAAATTTGGGACAGGGCCGCTGGATCTATGGTGCCGCGGGACGAGCCGGCAATGCTGGAGCCCGGAGAGGCGGGAACTGACAGGTCCGTGGCGTCTTGCAGGCCCTGCGGCCCAGTAAGGAAGTCGTCCATCGGGCCGGATTGGGACCGCGACAAAGCCCCCCAGGGCTGCCCAGAACTGAGTATTCAATTAGTTTTCCCCATTTTTGCTGAGTTTAAGAAAGACTGGATGCGAATTAACTTAGGCTTTACAGGGTGAGGCCTAGGAGCACAGGCACCGTGCGTCTCACTCCATCAGTGGTCAGGCCACGCCCCAGTTTGAGTTTTTTAAGTACTCAGAAATTTGCATTTCATCATTATTTTTTGTTTACCTCTATTGTATAGTGAGGAATAGTATTCTCTGAATGCGGAGGCGATTTGATCGGGGGACCTACATAGATTATTATCTGAGGATATTTCAAAAATTCTCTCTTTAAGATTAGAATTTTTGAGTTGATTGGATAAAAAAAAAAAAAATTGCACAATTACCCAGATAGAACCACTTCTGTTTCCATTTAATTAGGGTCTTATTTGCTCTATCTAACAGGAAATCTCTAATTTTTCTCTTAGTTTGATGATACCTTGAACCTTGGGATTAGTTCTCTCTAGGTCCTCCAGTTTCAAATACCAATCTGCCAGGGATTGATAATTTAATTTCTTATTTTGGGCTTAAATTTTAATTATAAATCCCTTAATTACGCATTTGTATGTGGCCCAAATATTCCCCAAACTAACCTCTTCACTTAGATTTTCCTTAAAGTATAAATAAAATTTAAGATTATTTCATCAAGGATTTCCTTATCATTCAACATTGTGTCTCTAATTTTCCAATTACCTCTTTTTAAAATGTAGTCCATCTCAATTTCCAGACTTACAGGCTTATGATATAGTCTGCCTATTGATTTTTATTCCTTTGCATTTCTTAACAGTGTCACTATGTGTCATAACCATATCCAATCTGGAGAAAGATTGGTGTCTATGGGAATAAAAACTATATTCTTTCCCGTATGGATTTAATGTTCTCCAAATATCATATAATTTAGATTTCCCAAGGGATTCTTACATTGATCTAGCTAAACCTCTAGCCTTTGGATCTATTTTTGTATCTTTTAGGGAAACGTTGTCTTTCTCTACGTCAACAACACAATTGAAATCCCCGAGAAGTATGAACATACCCTTAATCCTATCAGTAAACCTATTCATTATAGTATTAAAGAAATGAACCTGTCTCTCATTTGGAGCATAAATGTTTAAAAAAGAGAAGGTCATATTTAATTTGCATATCAAAAAAACAGTTCTTCCCTTAGAATCACAATATTTGTGTAATAGTTCGTATTATTACAGTATTTAACATTTTTAGAAATGATAATAGCTACTCACATTTTTTCTTTTCCTTTAAAGATGCATGGATCTTCTCCCTTCCAATGGGTCTCTTGTGCCCCACAGACATCTAGGTTCTGTTTAAATAACCAATCATAAAAAGCTATTCTCGGGGGCGTGGCCTGACTGCAGAGCTGAGAGGATGCTAACCCCAGCAGCTCCTGCTGAATGAAGGAGAAAAGGCTGAATTTTCACTCACAAAAAGCAATTACCCAACACGGGAAAGCCACCAGACAACAGCTGACAATGAGGTGATCATAATGACACCATCAAAGCGACATTCTGAGCGCTGGTCACCCGAAACCCCCATGAGGCCTACAGGCAAGGCAGGCGCAGGAGAGACGGCCGCTCTCTTGCAGCCACAACACACTGAGACCCTGAATCCGGGCCTGCATTCCCCCCCTATGGACCGGCGGGGTTATCCCGGTCTACCCTCACACGATCCCCAACTGAAGCAGCGAGATCGCACCATCGAAGCAAAACCCCGAGCCTACTTCCAGCGAGGCCCTCAAGATGGCGGATGCATGGAAGGAAAACGGAGCTCCGGCTGAACACAATCTTTGCCTCATTTTGGGAGAAATTGGAAGCCCACATGCGACCCCCAACACCAGAGACTCTGCCCAATAACCTGCCAAATAAAACACAGGAGACCCAGAGTAGCAAAGCCATGACCCCACCTAACGGTACACCCAGGAGAGGCCAGCACCAGCAAAAGGTCCCCTTAGGGCCAAAGCCCAGGCACCTAGTAATGAGCAGCGACAGACAGAGGCTGGTTTCGGAGGCCCTGCTGGCCCCGACGAGAAAACGACCAAAACCACCCCTCCCGCATGCTGAATTATGGCACACACCTCGGAGGGACATGGACAGTGGGAAGCACCTGGGGAAACGACAGGGTAGAAGGCTCAAAACGGCGACGACATCAGGAGTGCACTCCCGGAGACGGAGCAACCCACGCTTGAACCAAGGGGCATACCGAGCATGGAGAACCGCAAAGAAGACTTTGTGCACCCCATCAAGCTCACGACCTCACAATCTTGGGACTCTGCCCCTCCTCACCTACGAGGCACCGAGCGGGATGCAACAAGCTGCACGGGAGCACACTCAGCCCCTACAGGGTGTTGGATGACCGAAAACCGGTGATGAGACTCTGTATCAGGCAAAGTGCCAGTTGCATATTTCCTAATTCAAATTACATAACCCTTGTTTAATGTAGGCTACAGTGAATCTATTGATCTTTAGTAAGGGGAAATCGTGGGGAGGGGGTACTACTATTATTTTCACTTGTTTGCTTAAATGACAACTGAACCCACACAGGGCATGCCACACATAGTATCGCATGTACACTCACATGCTTCTAAACCCTGAGAGAAAGCCTCTACAAGCATTAATCCATGTACACACCTCACTCTCACAATGAACACGTCCCTGTGTAATAACCTATAAACCTACTCATCGACCTTATGTACCTAGTGTTTAAGCATTTATTTTTCTCTGAATGTGTGCATTTATATCACATACTGCTGATTTTCTCTGAAGCATAGCAAATAAGATGTTGAAATATTGCCTGCGATCCAAGTTAACTTTATGTGTTACCTGTTATTAGTCTATAGCCAGCAAGGCTCAAGATAAGATTGTTTATATATCATAAAAACAAAAATTGTGCATCTACTCCTGCCACTGTTTAACCTGTATACAACGTGTGCGCTGTTGTGGCGCTTGATTTTGCAATGTACTTCCCTGCACAACATAAATAGAGAATAAAAAAAATTAAAAAGCTATTCTCTTTTATGGAACATTCAGACCTTGAGCATTAAATGTGGTTATCTTTATCAGCTTCTACCAGAGATGGATTACCAAATGGGAAGAGATCACTCTCCCAGTCGCGCAGACATAACACACAACAAAATCCCAAAAGGAAGAGTAATACTATTTCCTCTGGACAGACACACCCCAAACCCCATAAAACATAACAAAAACCCCCAAAAAGAAAAGACTTATCTACTAGACATAAAAAAAAACAAATCACAGACTGGGCAGTAGCTCAAAAACAATCCTAAAAATTGGATCATGGAGAGATTAATTTGACCCCTTATCTCTTCCAAAAAATGATTACTCGCCATGAGGCGAGTGCTCCTACAACCCCAAAAAATTTACGGCAGGCAATTAATTAAAATTATATGTGTTTTAATGCTGTCTTGATGTAAAAAGCACCTATGTTCAGCACCTCCATGATCTGCATGGAGACACTGAATGCTCCCCATAGAGATGCACTGATTCAATGCATCTCTTTGAGGAGATGCTGACTGGTGCAGCGCTGTGTTTTGCTACACATGCACAACGGCCTGCCAATGCTTTGCTATGGGAGATCACTGGGTTGGTTGAGATCATCAAAACTGATGATCTCAACCATGGAGGCAGGTCGAGGGAGAAAAGGTAAATAAACTCATATTTCTGGGTGCTGGGTCCCTAAAAGGTAGTCTAATACTATTGTGTTAGAAATACTTGTTTGTATTCCTAATACTATATAGTGTTCCTTTAAGAGGTTACATTACACAGCTTTAAATATAATCCAGAACAAGAATTATTCAGAGAAACTTACCAAATATGTCTCTTTAGAAATACTTCTCTTTAGAAACTTTAGCTATCCAATACCTCCAATAAACTTTCCATTTAACTGTAACCCATTTTACATGTAATTTTAGTACATACTCTATCCCAACCTTCATCTAGAGTGCAAGCTTTTTAGTGCAGGAGTTCTATCATTATCTATCTGCAAGTTACATTCTGTCTTATGTAATGATTCCCTTACAGCAATTTATCTGTAAATCTGTTATATTGTACTGTAACACAAAACCTGCAGGTTCTTTGTAACACACAAATTATAATGACAATGATAGTAGGAATATGGATACATTGTTTCCTGTTGCAATTAAATTAGGTGACTTCAGTATGCCAGAACGTAATTATGTAGCCATAGTAGAAAACAAATGGTTTTACAAAAATAAAAATCATTCTTATTTACAACAAACTCCACGCCACTTTATAAATTGCACAAGGCATATAATAACAGCATAACTTTGACAGATAGGAAAAGACTGTTTTAACCCCTTAAGGACACATAACATGTGTGACATGTCATGATTCCCTATTATTCCAGAAGTTTGGTCCTTAACCCCTTAAGGACTGGACTGTTTTTGCGATGTTGTACATTTGCGACCAGGCATATTTTTACACTTTTGTGGTGTTTGTGTTTGGCTGTAATTTTCCGCTTTCTCATTTACTGTTCCCATACAAATTATATATTGTTTTTTTCAGGACAAAGGGGGCTTTCTTTACATACCATTATTTATATAATCTCATGTATTTTAATTTAAAAAAAATAAAAAAATATGATGAAAAATTGAAAAAAAATACATGTTTTTGACTTTTACTTGAAAAATCTTTTACTCATCTACAAAAGCGAATGAAAAAAACTGCTAAATAGATTCAAAATTTTGTCCTGAGTTTAAAAATACCCAGTGTT